CAGAGCCACTGGAGATGGCTGCTCTCTGGTTCTGCTGACTTTGGAGGTTTGTGGCTGTAATGAATCTCTTGCCAGGGATTGTGGTGGCTTCCCCGGGCTGATCGGTATTCAGCCAGAGCTCAACACAAGGTAGACTCTGTGGCTCTACGGGTGGATGGTTGGGTCTTTTTTTTTCTTCATTTCTCCAGCTCTACCTCTTGATGAAATTCATTGCTTGTGTAATAGGGGTTTTATTGTGCTCTGGCTGGGTTTTGTAATCCGCTCTCAGTGCACACTGGAGATAAATCAGCCTCCAGAAAATCATTGTGAGGTATAATTGCTCACGTATCCAGTCCTCACCTGGGGTTTGCCATTTCGCTTCACCGTGCCCTTTGGCGAAATGAGAACAAAAACATGAACCACAATGAAAAGACTGAATCTGTATGCTGTTGGAAATTCTTTTTGAGAATATTGCCTCTTAAAATATTAAATATAATTCCAAATTAAGTTTTTTTATTTTTTAAAGAAAACCTGTTTTTACGTCCTTTAATGTCCAATGTATGACCTTTGCTATTTCTGTAGCATCTTTACAGAATTTGCAGCCCAAAAACTTCCCTTTCTTGAAAACCCTCATTTTATTCCCTGTCTAAAATCTTTATTTCAAGTTTAATTTCTGTAAGCCCCAGTCCCGCTTTCTTCTGACTAGTTTTCTCCATTGCTGCCATCTTACAACGTCATCATTATTGAGTGAACCTCGGAATGAAATGCTCAGATGTTTGAGACCCTGACCAAAAAATTCTCATCTGCCTTTTTAAACAAGCTGTTCTTAGTAGCAGTCTCATTACTCCGTCACACGTTGGATTCAAAAGTTGAACCCCTACATTTAGTTTTGACCCAACATGTCTACTTAATTTTTCATTTTTAAAGCTCCAGTGAAGAGTTTTATTGATGATTATGAAACAAACTGAAATTCTCATTCATGCTTTTCACAATAAAGCAAACAAGACCACCAAGACCAAACAAATAATTATCCACAATAAATGATGCGTTTGACTTTTAAAAGTCACTAGGATGAGGTTTTTGGTCAAAAACATAGACTGTATATAGAATGGACGACGTCTGCCTCCTCGCTGGGAGAAGCCACTGGGAGAACGGCACCCTCTGCTGACTGGCTGCAGTATAGGTCACAAATCCCACCTCTTCCAGTAATCCCTATGGAGCTGTGGACAAACTTTAAAAATTAGTTACACAGAATATACATTTTTCTCCCCCCTGGTTGCGATGTTGACATGTAGTTAACTGTCAGACCGGTTTGTGGAGAAAATCCTGGTAATACCGAGAGCAATTCGGCTTTAACATTACAGAAGGCGGAGCCAAGTTATCCATAGAATACACAGTCTATGGTCAAAAGTCACAGCTTAGGCATAGAGAGGACAAACTAAGCAAAGACTGCTCTGTCCACAGGGGGCGCCAAAATTGATGCAAACTGAAAATTCCTTACTAAGTTGCAAAAATCTCCCTTTGCTCTCGTGTGTTCACTATCTGGTCTTACTCAGTGTAACCTTCCTAGTGTACGCTGAAATTTGATGTTAGATATGTCTATGTATTGTGCAGGACCTGTTAGCTTTAGCTGTCATTGTGAGCATTACATCCAGTATGTAGCCAGTTTATGGATATTTTCGAAATGAACAGTAAACTAGGAACTGTGTTTACAACCAAGTAGGCCTGTTGTTGTTGTTCATATTTGCTGTATAAGCGAGGAGTCTGCTTGTCCTACTGCTGTCAGTTTGGGTGCTGACTTTGGACATGTTAGCCAACTACTTCTATTCTCTACGTTTTGTAATTTGATGCTCATTTGTCACAATAATGAATAAAAAACACTTTTTTCTTTTGATCCTTCAGAGGAAAAGAAAACTTGAGGTACAAAATATGACAAGAATGTCATCACAGACTGAAATGACAAAAGGACAATCAAACACGGAGACGTCGTTGTTTTTCTGTGTCGCAGAAAGCAGACGGAGGAAATCCGTTTATGTGAAATCCATCGCTGCATTCACATGTCTCTGATGTTTGTCTGAGGGTGGGAGGAGGAAGAGGCAGGTTTTAGCCAACTGGCTCCCCATCACAGGGCTCAGCCTTCATCACTACTCCTCCTCACACACACATACAGAGTTACAGACACACACTTGCAATAACTAGAACATCATCCCCGTCCTCCCATGTGGTTTTCTCCTCCGCGACCCGAGACGACTGAAGTGAACCCTGAGCTGCTTATTGGAGCATGATTACACAGCGAAGGACCCACAGCTGAATATCACCCCGATGAGCAGCCATTTCCCAAACAATAACCAATTGAGCACAGTGTGCAGTAATGTTGCAGGTTGATATCTCTTTCAAAAGAGGCTCTTCAGATCTGAATATCACAGCTGCTGTCTGAGTTAAGTGGTCTAAGTGGCCCTGATTTCCAGCCGAGTAACAAAGACTGAATAAAAGGCTGCTGGATAGTCAGTCTGGAGCTGCCGCGTGGGTGTGATTTTGAAAGATGATACTGCAGAGTCAGACCACAGGGATGCACAATATGGGGAGCAATTTTGAAATGAAGGTTAAAGGCATTGGAAGTGTTTTTCAGCCTCTGTATGGCACAGAGGAACTCAACGGGAATAAATATAAAGAGATATTTTCACAGAGACTATTGAGAGATCCAGCAGAGCTGAGCTTGAAACAGCTAGAAGCAGTATAATGTGGTAAAACACACCCAAACAACAGGAAATTTTAGAGCGACCAGTTAACCTGAATGTAGGGCTGCACAATTTTGGCCAAAAACGAAATCCTGATTTTTTGATTTTCAATTTTGACTTTTTACTCAGTGACAACTTCACCAAACTTCACTTTAATAAGAATTTCTATCATCTCTTATAACGTAACCACTGAAAACGATGTAGTGCATATGCCAAGCCAGTAAGTGGCGCTGTAACGCTGCTGAGGAAATGTACAAAAGACAGAAGAAGAGTACAGAGCATGCTTATAAAGGTTGTTTTGTTTTATATATCCATGAAAAACGCCATGTTTGTTAACACTGGTGTGTGTGGGAACTGGGGAACGCTCCTGCAGGAAGGGGGAGCCTACGGTGGCCTGGAGGCGTGAGACATGATAGAGAAGAAAATCGTCAAATTGGAAAATCGATCTGATGATTTAAATTTTTTAACATCATCCTAATCAAATATTCCGATTACAATTTAAAATCGATTAATCCTGCAGCCTTACTTGAAGGAGAGGTTTTTGGTCTGCTGAGATATCGAGGGAAGTCGCATGTATACACAGGAAGAATATGCACACAGACAGGTGGCTGCCTGGCTGGAGATTCAAACCTGGAACCTTCTTGCTTTGGGGAAACAGTGCTTACCTCTGCACCACCCTGTAGTCCAGATTCCAAATAAGAATCCCCAAACGGTCTTGCCCCATCCATGCACCCTGAGTAACCCAGGCAGAAACAAAGTGGTTTAACCACATCGCTTAGCAATTAAGGAGCCTATCTGTGTCTGCTAGATGAGGATAAATAAGAAAACAACAAATTAAATAAAGTGATTTAATTGTGATGGATGCCAACCCTCAGAAGAAAATAGCTGGGTCTTACATCCAGACTAATTTCATTAAGGATTTTTTGCAACAATGAGATCATATCAGCCAGTCTGGAAGCAAAATAAATCTGTGAGCTCATGTTTACTTGCTCAGCTTCCGCTCCTTTCCAAAAAGATTTCCATCTGAGCTGATTCAAGGCAGCCGGCCAATCATAATTGTTTATCTTATATAAGGCTCGACCACGGGCCATTTAGGTTGACCATCTTACAGCGTAGTAAACAAACCATGACTAATGTAAAACTCTTTCAGCACATAATCTCGTCTGTATCAAAGCTCTGGAGGGAAACTTTAGGTTTCTGTCAATTTTGGCATTTCCTGTGATCAAAGCAGCGTCTCCTCTGTTTTTGCAGAATTTGTCCTGTTTGCATGTCTTTCTTTAAACAGCCTTATGTACCACCTACTGAGAAAGTCTAAAGTCTGGTTTATGCTTCTGTGTTGACTCTATGCAATAGCAATGCTGTAGTGGACAAACATGTAGGCTGGAGCATCAACGTCACACTGCAATACTCTACCCAACCACTAGTCAGCAGTGCCAAGTCTATGCTCTTCATATCACCAATTTTCAGTCAAATCAATGCTGATTGATTTCAAGTGCAAGATGTTCGGGTTTGAGTTGACTACGACACTAAAAGCTAGCGGAGCTAACAGCAGCACTAGGACAAGCGATCTGTTGCTTTAGTGCTTACCTGTAGCTAATGGATCCGTTTGTGTCTGAGAGGAGATTGGGCATACCCAGTTGTTAGCAACTTTATTAACTGTCACAGAATTGCCTTTAAAGTTATTTTCTGCTAATTTATGTCAGAAGTATATCTGAAAAACAATAGCGGGGAATTCGGTGACTGTCCAAACTGAAAGGCGGGGTCGGCCAGCGGATACAAAAACGATTTTGCTGAGACGTTTGATGAGCTGGGATATTAGAGCACTTAATCCGCTATTGGGCTGATGTTTGTCACACGTTATAGACTGGAGGCCGACTTGCCGTTCTGAGGCCGACGTCGCCACGACGTATGTGTGCTATCTGGGTTATAGCAAGGTTGTCATTGGTTGAAATGTCACTCCAGTGATCAAGAAAACTTATCTGAAAGCAGAGGTTCAGTTTTTTGAAAGTGTCTTAAAAATGTAAAAGAAGTTGAAGGTTAACATGACAGAGCTTAAAAGCTTTTTGTAACTGGTGGGACTCTGCATTGTAATTTATGACACCAGCAGGATTTTTATCTTGTTTATTTTTTTTTTTGCAGCCCACCAAAATATAAATACAGTATATATACAGTTAACTCTGTTACACTCACAATGTGTTGTTGATTTTCTGTATGTTTGTTGTTGAGTTATTTCCTAGTATCCGCACATTTGTACAGGTTGAAATTCAGAATAACTAGGAGCTGCCTGAGACTACAATGGTGCGCAATGTATTTAATGAAAAAAAGCTCATATTTCAGACCTTTGTTTCACAGTAAGCAGCTTATAATGCATGAAACACTCACTGCTGAGATGAGAAAATCAAACTGAAGGATTCTTCTTGTCATGTGTGGGTGTAAAATCTCGACTCCTGGAAAAGTCATCACCGGTCTGAGTCACCGGACCTTGAATCAGGCTCAGTCGTTTGTTTGCACAGCCACATGTTTCTGCAGATTTAATAAAAAGAGACGCTGTTTTTATATCAGTCGCACATTTAAGGTCGACAAAATAAGAAGAATCCAAAGAGAGGAATCGTCTCCTCTGACAAACATACATCCATGACTTACCTCTCTGATGACGAACATATTGCACTGATGTTGCACTGGATTGCGTAACACTTGTGTTGTTTGTTGTTGTTGTGTCCTTCTGTAGCTCTCAGTTACTAACTGAAGTAGCGCTTGGATATCAGAGCCCAGCGTGCCGTCTGAATGTTTGGACTGATCGTATTAAAGTAGAGAAAATCTGTTTCCACTGGAGCTAACCTGCCAACATCAGGCCCCCTACGTGGGTGTGTAATAACTCTGGAGATCCCTGCTGTTCACTGTGTGTGTGCACGTTTGAGTGTCTGTTCAACTGCAGGAAGTGTAGGACTGTAGGAAGGTTGTAGTGAGCACTAATGCACTTCAATATATGTGTGATTTCAAATAGATAGATAGATAGATAGATAGATAGATAGATAGATAGATAGATAGATAGATAGGTGGGTAGATAGATAGATAGATAGGTGGGTAGATAGATAGATAGATAGATAGATAGATAGATAGATAGATAGATAGATAGATAGATAGATAGATAGATAGATAGATAGATAGATAGATAGATAGATAGGTAGATAGATAGATAGATAGATAGATAGATAGATAGATAGATAGATAGATAGATAGATAGATAGATAGATAGATAGATAGATAGGTAGATAGATAGATAGATAGATAGATAGATAGATAGATAGATAGATGGGTAGATAGATAGATAGATAGGTAGGTAGGTGGGTAGATAGATAGATAGATAGATAGATAGATAGATAGATAGATAGATAGATAGATAGATAGGTAGGTAGGTAGGTGGGTAGATAGATAGATAGATAGATAGATAGATAGGTAGGTAGGTGGGTAGATAGATAGATAGATAGATAGATAGATAGGTAGGTGGGTAGATAGATAGATAGATAGATAGATAGATAGATAGATAGGTAGGTAGGTGGGTAGATAGATAGATAGATAGATAGATAGATAGATAGGTAGGTAGGTGGGTAGATAGATAGGTAGGTAGGTGGGTAGATAGATAGATAGATAGGTGGGTAGATAGATAGATAGATAGGTAGGTAGGTGGGTAGATAGGTAGGTGGGTAGATTGGTTGGTAGGGAGGCAGTTACATAGATAGTTAGGTACGTCAGTAGATAGGTAGGTTGGTTGGTTGGTTGGTTGGTTGGTTGGTAGGTAGGTAGGTATGCAGGTAGATTGGTTGGTAGGCAGGTAGATAGACAGTTAGGTACGTGGATAGGTAGGTAGGTAGGTAGGTAGATAGATAGGTAGATAGATAGGTAGATAGGTAGGTAGATGGGTAGGTAGGTAGGTAGATCGATTGGTTGGTAGATAGATAGATTGATTTGTAAATAGATAGGTAGCAGATAGATGTATGTATGAGGTATGTAGATAGATATGTGGATAGATAGGTATATAGATAGAGGTACGCAGATAGGTATGTAGGTAGATAGATATGTAGATAGAAAGATAGGTACAGTAAGTAGATAGGTAGGTAGGTAGGTAGGTATGTAGATAGATGTATGGATAGATAGTTATGTATGTGGATAGATATGTAGACAGATAGGTATGCATGTATGTAGATAGATGGAAAGAAACATAGTTTGTTAGTTCAGGTAAGTTTGCTGCTCCTCCTGTGTGGTTTAAAGGCCCTTACAGTCTGATTCGAGCCTTCAGGGCCTCCTGTCAATCCATCCACCCTGTCAAGTCTTCATCTTTCTAATGATGAGCTGAAGGTACTCTGACACAACTGTGTCACTCACTCTGACAGGCAGATGTGGTTTGTAATGGTATTTTTGGAGATTCCTATCCTGGTTGCACGGATGTAGATCCTAGAACACATGGGCTGCTTGTTTTAGCATAAATGATCAAATCTGTTAACCAAGTTTTTTGCTAACAGCCTCTTGGTCATAAGTCGATGTAAAGTTGGGGTGAGCTGAATAAAGCAGTTACTGGTGTTTGCAGTTTGCGGGATGTTTGCAGTTTGTATGGCACTTTGAAAAAACATGTTACCTACATGTAAAAATGCCCGTCATTCTCCAGCCTACTAACCTATGATGATGGAACGACTTTTAAAATTATGGCCAATGAGATACGGAGAGGCTGCAGATCCTCTACAGAGGATTAACTTATATGTTTTTTGTAATTGAATAAAAACCTTTACTTAAAAGGCACTTGAGGCATGTTGAAAACATCTAAAAATACCATAATATAGGATCTTTAAAAAAGCCCAGTTTTAATTATACCCTCGTACTTTGATATCAGGACTGCTCTGCCATCCCTGTAACACCTCTGTTACATCCATGCTTGCATGCTAGCTCTAATAGCCCTTTTAGAGAAGTGAGAACAGCATCCATTCGCACTAATGGAGGGATGTCAGAGTGAGGGGGCTGTACATGGACCGGCGCCAAAGCAGTTGGTGTTGTGATGTCTTGCTCAAGGACACCTCAGCAGTGGACTGGCACCTCTCCAGCTACCAGTTTTCCATACTGTGGTCCTTATTGAGACTGAAACTTGTGACCCATGGCGTTCCAAGTCTGATCTACTACCCCCCTTAAAACCTGGTCCATAAAATGTCAGACACCATCACTGTAGACTTTCCCTCCTCATGTATGCACCACCCTTGTAACATCAAACAGTTCCCTGAGTTGTGAGAGTGTGTCCAATGCAGACAACCTTCTGCAGAGTAGGACCTTTGTAAGGGGCCATAGTTGAAAATATTCTAAACTTTTAAGAAAATGTCAGGAGGTCATGTGTAAAAGGGTCTGTAGAGAGCACTGACACCCTCTAAAGAGTCCTGCAGCTCGACACAAGGAAGTCTTGTGTCTGCAGAGATTTGCCACAGAGCTTCAATTTGGGTTAAAGAATCAATTAGAAGAAACATAAGGTGAAATTTTTCACACTTGCAGCTTGTAGTGAGTCTTTGCCCTAATTTTATTTGCCTCACCTTAAGATCACATGATCATAAAGTGACAAACATGATCACATGGTAGTGCGCCGCATCCTCCGTCACATAGGTTAAACTAGATCTTGTTTTTAATTGGAGGAAAGAGAACCGGTGAGGAATTTCTGCTTATGGATGTCATGGGACTCATTTTCAAAACTGTTTGAAGCCTGGTCTCAGAGAAATGATAAATTCATGAGTAAAGGATGTGAAAACCATCCAAGACTTTCCAAGACATTTTCACTAAACCATATTTCAATCACTGATTCAAACATTTGGCACTAAACATGTCGTCAGGCCTGGACTGGTGATGATGCACCTGGTTTAAGGATGCTCCTGGGTTAGACAAGCAGCATGTTACAGGCTCTAAAGAGGCGCAATGTTAAAACCTCCTGGTATTAAGGGTGATTTAAGGATTTAAACTAGAGAGTCGGAGGTTGTGGTAGTGAGGGAAAGCCAACATTGTCGGTGGCGTGAGTGGGTACAGAGTTGTATTCATAAAGGGTTGCCTTGTTGTGTGAATTCGTTACTCTGCTTGTTTTGTTGCTGATTAGAAATGAGGATTTCATCATTAGACTGGTGGCTGATTGCAGCCGAGGCGTATAACTCGTGTGTCCTGCAGAAAAAAGCGTGAAGCTCCATATATCAGTCTTGTGGTTTGACCGAAGAAAAGGCTGCAAGATTCACCCTCTAGGCATCACGAATGTTTATAATGTCACAATAATGCATCTCGTGATCATTGAACAACTGAACCTCACATTTAGATCTTCTGATCATAACATAGATACTCATGAAGTGCTGACTCCTTTGTAAGAAATCTGTAGGGTTTTCCCAAATATATCTTGCGTTTCCCATGATCCACGATCAAAGCGTGCATTTGTTGTGGAAGCAAAAATCATCCATTTCTAATGATGTTGACAGTCATGTTTTATCTGTAGCACCAGTCTGGAGATAGAAACTTTTAATCAAAATATGAAATATTGATTTTATGCAAAAAATAAGCAACCAAAACCATGAAATCAAAGCTAAGGCCCTTTACACTGGTAAAACGGAGGAGAGATGAAGAAGCAACAGCAGATGGCCTCTGAACCGGCTCTTTAAAAGATGATTGGACATTTTTACAAACTGAAATTTGAAGATTTTTGTCGAGCGAAATGCAGTTTCACAGCTTTTTTTCTCTTTGAATTAGTAATTAATTAAACATTTATCTTTTCTACTTCTTTTTTCTTTTCTTCTGTTTTCATTAAGTTTTGTAACCTACAATCTGCAGGAAGTAGCTTATACTTCAAAATAAAAGCCTGACAACCAATTAAGTCTCCTCTCAAGAAGTTACACAGCCAGTGATGTGGATGAATCCTTAATTCAAATATGAACAGAAATGGATGAAGACGTAAGTTGATCGTGGCCACAATAATCGTAGGATGAAAATTTGAAAACATGACAGCCCAACTTATTAAAGACCCTCTCTGATCGAAATCATGTTTTTTATGTTTTTTACATGTTCATATGACATTTTTCTGATTTTCTGGACATATCATGAGAAAAATAAGTGTGAAATTGCATTTCCGATTATTTCTGCATTCAAATCCCTGTGAATCTCTGGCAGACCCAAAAGAGCAGGTTCAGAAACGGTGAGATTTCCTATGTCACAAATCCAAGCTCCGCCCCCAGAGCCCTGCTATGCAGGCCAGACTCAGAAAGGTAGAGAGGACAATCGCGGAGCAAGCGACTGCGTTAGCAGATTGCAATGTGCGTAAGAAAGCTTATTATGATATTAACTTTCATCATGTCCCCAAAGATGTAAATGTCTAAGAGTTGAATAGCTCCTATGCTACCTGCTTCTTCTACTACACCAGGTATGTTAGGCTGTGAGCTAGCGTGAAGAGGAGTGTGCAGAGCAGCGCTGTCTCTGCCCACGACTCAGAGGCGAATGGCTAATGAGCTACTGGAGCTCTGCAGAAGAAAAGTCCTTGAAAATGACACAGGTAATGTGATTTTGGCGAAAAACTTCATAATCACAATTAAAAAACCACTGTGAACACTTTAAGTTGGGAATAAAAAGTCGGAGTGGGACATTAAATGAAAACTTTCTGTCTTTCTGTCATCTTATAGTTTACAAAAAAAATGCCCTTTTCTAAAGAAACTTTTAGAGTACTTCACTTTTACCTTACTGTAGATT